GCATTCAGTTTTTATTCACAATTTGTTTAGTGTCCCAACATTTTTTTGGAATCCGGTTTGTAGTTGTAACAGTTGTTGATAGATCAATGTTATGTGACCTGCACAGTGGATGAGTGGTGTCGCTAGCTGAAGGTATGTAGAAGTAAGAAGCATTCAAAATTCAAAAAGTACAAGGAGCATTTTAAGTGATTTCTATTTTATCCAATGACAGATTGCAGGTGTTGTTTTTGGTCATTTACATCACCATAATAACTTGAAATGCCTATAAAAGTAATAGTATGCCCTTCATGACCAAGCCACTCAATTTGATGTTTATGTGTGGGTGCACTCTGACAGAAACACATATGGAGGATAGTAATTCTATCCTTGCTATGAGAGTTATGATTGTCTTCACCATGCACTGCAGTGCTTCCTACACTTTTCTAATGCCAGGTGCCAATTACAGTTTCTATACATTTTATATTGACCATAAACAAAAAAAAAATCAAATATTTTGCCTGTATTTAGAGTGGTTAAGTCTAATGTATTTCACACTAACAAACGTTATGAAACTATTTCTTTCAGATGAAAATGGTACCTTGATGACTTGTTCAAAAGCCAAAGCAAGACTAAGCATCATGGGTCTTTGGGAGGGAATCATCTGCTGGTCAATGGTGTTGTAAAAATGAGCCACCTACAACACAGTAATATTTTGTTACAGTACCATCATGTAATAACTATGAGAAGTCGCACAAACAACAACAGCAAGAGATATTATGTCTTTCCCTCCGCTCTCACCTGTTTCAGGACAACAGCTTGCCTGTAAAATTTGTTTGCTGTGTTTGCTGCCTGCTGTATCTTGGCTGAGACGGGAAAACCCAGAGCTGAAAGTTGCCTGACCTCCCTGAGCAGGCTGACCAGTCTGTCTGAGTACTGGATCTTCAGCCTGCCGTCCATGTGGTCCAGTTCCATCACACGGTTACTGGCCTGAAGACTGCACAGATGAAGAAAAACAAATTATACATCTGCAGAATTTGAAATGCTTTCAAAATAGAAACCCATTCATCCAAAACATGTGGACTTGGTCTTAAATGGCATTTATTACTTATACAAAAACTATATTAGCATTGTCTATATACTAGATGTAGTATTTAAACCTCAAAAATATTGTTTCTATATTTTAAGAGGAAAATGGGATCATACGGAGACCCTCACAGTTGGGTGAAAAGATGTCTATGTGACTTCAATGTAAAGTGAGAACTGCATATAACACACACACACAACTGTTATAGTGAAACTGATTTCATTTATTTATAAAAACATATTTAAACATAAAAGGATAGAGTACTGTATATTTAAAGCTATACTATTTTATACAATTTTTATAATTCAGTGTTTTTAAATAAGGCACTATTCAGCAGTAAATGCTCACAGAGAGTAAACAATGCAGCATCATATAGCTGCTGTTTAGCTGACAAGCTTTTGCCAAAAATACAAAGCAAAAGTCAGAGATTGCAGTATTTCTAACCTGATCCCTGACTTTGGGTCAGACAATCCAGACAAAATATCTCTAGACCAATCTTCAAACTGCTCCTGTTCGTACGCCTTCAGAATTTCCAGCAGGTCATCACAGAAATGCAGGAAACCTTTGAACCCAGACAGTTCTGAAAGCAAAGCTTCAGCTATACGAACAGAATCCTCCACCTGGTTTAACAACAAAAGCAGATTAAAAAAGGAGAGCCTTTTCATTGTCTAATCTATTTTTCTACGTGTGTAATATCAGTAAAAATGTCACAGTGGTATAATCAGATGTTTTTATGTCAAAACCATATTTCTAATTAATGAATGAAAGCTTAATCTCCTAAATCTAAAGCTCA